TCAGCCAAAACTTTCACTTCTTATCTTCCTCCTGCACATTCTTTTCCGGTCGAGTTCTCCTTCGTGGTGGCCATTTCTGACCACCGCTACAACTGCCTTCGGGAAAGGGAGTAATGGCCAGCTGAGGAGGAGAGATGCGGCTCTCCTCAACCCTGCTGGCGGTCTCCCCCCTCTTCACCACCTCTACAGGGTGGCTTAGCCCCAAAACCAGCTGGCTCGGGGCGCTCCAGTGGCGAGCCCAGACAGAAACCGCGCACAATCGTGGATTTCTGTCTGTCGCCGAAGCCCTTCAAACCGGAAGTCCAGGTGTTCATTTCTGATTAGGGCTAATTCCGTTCTTTTCAGGATCCTTTCAGTGGCTAAAGTTTTGGAATGGAATTTGAGTTGGAAGCATGTGGGGAATCACATTTTTGTCTCGGCAATTGCGTAGGAATGTGAGGTCACATAAGATGGTGGCTCTTCGGACTTGGACTTTCTCGTAGGTCCTGGTCAGCTGGAAGGTTTCCTCCTCGTAGAGGTACGATACTTGTTTTTGTAGATTTTCACGGTTACAGGTATGCAGGTCTTGGTGTGTTTGGGGTGGAATAACTGATTTTTCCAAGGGGGTTAAATGAGAAGCCGGAACTGTTGTGGAGGGTTGAATCAATAGGGCTGTGAAGCTGCATAGGCATGCACATACGCACACATGTAAATTGGGAAAAAAAGCACTTTCAAAATAAAAGCAAGAGCCCACGAGGGCCAGACGTTGCCCAGGGGCCATAAAATGCCCAGGTCTGTTCCAAAGACACCAATAATTAAGAAATCAGATCAGGTCCCTTTTTCTCTTTTGGCAGCCTATTAGAAAAAGGGATACCCAGGCCCTGTTTGGTTCTGCCATCTCCAACCCTGGCAAGAAACATCGATGATTAAAAAGTTGTGCTACTATGCAGGTAGTCCTCAGTTGGCAACCACAATTGAGCCTGAAATTCTTGTCTTGCTAAGCGAGACAGTTGTTAAATGAGCTTTGTCCCATTTTACAACTTTCCTTGCCACACTTGTTAAATGAGTCACTGCAGCTGTTAAGTTAGTTGCACGACTGTTAAGTGCATCTGGATTCCCCAATGACTTTGCTGGTGAGACAGAAGGGCGCAAGAGTCGGTCACATGACCCTGGGACAATGCAAATGTGAGCCGGTTGCCAAGAAACCGCATTTTGACCACATGACCACGGGGAGGCTGCAATGGTTGTTAAGTATGAAAAATGGCCTTAAGTCACTTTGCTCAGTGCTGTGCTGCTATTGAACGGTCACTAAATGGATGGCTGTTAAGTTGAGGACTATCTCCTGACCCAATGAGAAGGCTCCCGCAGTAGACAAGGAGAGTATTCGGTAATTGTCTGATTTGCCTTTGCTAGACATCTCGGCATTTCGATGGCAATCTAGAGTCTTTAACAGGATCCTGTGGAGTTTAAACATGGCAGCACAATAGCAATCTTCCAAAACTGGAAGGGCTGCTCCACAGAAGAGGGAGTAGTTCGATCCTATCCACAGTGTCTAGATAGAACAAGGATAGAACAAGAACCAACAGGTGGAAGCTTTACAGAAGCAGATCATCCTGAGCTTAAATTATGAAGATTAGGAAGAGTCCTGGAATTTGGGGTGGAACATTATTGTTGGAGGTGTCAGGTCCCAGCTGGAAGGCTGCCATTCTGAAAGGGAGGGGTGGAAAGGGATGCTTCTAGGGGCTGATTGCTTAGAATGCTTTCGCTTTTGCTGCAACCCCGTGGGAATTTGGGAGTGGGGCTGTCAGGATGGATTCCCTCCCAGCTGGTTACCAGGGCCGTGGCATCCATCCCACCTTGGGGTTTTCATAACACTTTTGTGGCAGAGGTGGTCTTCAGCAGATTCTGACCAGTTCTGGAGAACCAGTAGCGGAAATTTTGAGTAGTTCAGAGAACCGGCAAAACCCACCTCTGACTGGCCCCACCCCCATTTCTTCTCTGCCTCCCATTGAGTCCCAGCTGATCGGTTGGGTCTTCTTTGGTTGCCCTGCACAGGAGAACGGAGCTGGAAAGTAGGTTAGTGGGGTGGGGAAGGAATGGGGATTTTGCAGTAACTTTCTCCCAGGAATAGGGTGGGAATGGAGATTTTATAGTATCCTTCCCCTGCCACACCCACCAAGCCATGTCACGCCCACCAAGCCATACCCACAGAACCAGTAGTCAAATTTTTTGAATCCCACCACTGCTTTGTGGCATCCTATTAGCTACTGGTGGACATGGGGCACTGGTTGGGTGGGGGGTAGGGAGATTGAACAGGGGAAATTAGCTTGAGGCTTCATTAAAGAATCTACAGACCTTGCCTGACTTCTCTGCAATCGCTTCTCTCGGTAAAAGTTCCTTTTTGAAATATCGTTTGTTTCAAGAGTCATGCTTTCCTTGAGAAGATAGCTGAAGCAGAAAGGCCTTACAGAAAGTTTTTAAGCAAAGATTGGAGGGCTGTTGATCTACGATGGGACCATAAGACAGGGGTGTCCAACCTTGGTAACTTTAAGTCTTGTGGACTTCAACTCCCAGAATTGAACTCAAACGGGTCTTAAAGTTGTCAACTTCCTTCCTAGGCAGGATTCTAGGGTTCCAAGCACTTATCTAGCAATGAAACCCCACCAAGTTACAGGTAATCCTCAACTTACAACTGCAATTGAGCCCAATATTTCTGCAAGACATTTATTAAGTTAGTTTCACCCCATTTTACGACCTTTCTTGCCACAGTTGTGAAGCGAATCACTGAAATGGTTAAATTAGTAACCTGGTTGTTAAGTGAATCTGGCTTCCGCATTGACTTAATGACCATTATGATTTACAGGTAGTCCTCAACTTACAACCACAACCAAGCCCAAAATTTATGTTGCTAAGTAAGACATTGGTGAAGTGAATTTTGCCCCATTCTATGAACTCTCTTGCCACCGTTGTGAAGTGAATCACTGCAGTTGTTAAGTGAATCTGGCTTCTCCATTGACATTGCTCCATCAGAAGGTCACAGAAGTTGATCCCATGACCCTGGGACATTGAAACCGTCATTACATATGAACCAGTTGCCAAGCCCCCGAATTTTGATCATGGTGACCATGGGCATGGGGGTGCTGCAACGGTCATTAAGTGTGAAAAACGGTCATAAGTCACTTTGTGACACATAAGTCACAAGTCAGTGCCATTGTAACTTTGAACAGTCACTAAATGAGCTGTTGTAAGTCGAGGACTACCTGTACAACAATCATTCCAAACTCAATTATGGCTGTAAGTTGAGGACTACCTATAATTGGCATTTCAGGATATTTTGCAGGAAATAAAAGGAGCGTAGTGAACATCCTTTTGTGGCATTCTTGTAAAAATGGAACAAGTGATTTCCTTAAGAGAGGCATCAGCAGAGATTCCAGCGGACAGTGCAATCCTCGTGGTTATTGTATGTTGGGCTCTATCTGGGCACACAGCAGGCAGGCAATCTGGGGTCATTCAGAGCACATTTGACAGGCAGGCTTGATTCTTCTTACTGGTGTCTGATTTTTCTGAACAGGTGACACATCAGACACCAGCAATGTAGCCGAATGACTCACGTTGAAACCTGCTCACATTATGTGAGGTAATCGCTGGAAAGATGCAGTTAAGAAAATGAGTAGGAACACTTACTAAGCAAGAGAAATGTCACAAGAGAAATGCCATTATTATTATTTCCCCTGAAATGAGACTAAGGATTAATGTGTTCTTGGTGCCGTGACTGAAGTCCACCAGATGCCTTCACCGCTTTTTTTCTGAGCTAGGATTTCATACGTACACCAAGGAGTGGGTGAGAGAAAAGGTAAACAGAGAGCTCCGAGGGAAATGAAACGACAGCAATAATTACCTTAATGGGCAGTGGCTTAAAATGAAAAAGAAAAAAAGAACAAAGCAGCTTGCAAGTTTTTAGCTTGGAGCAAATGTGGGTGAGGCGAGACACCTTCCCATTCAACAGCTACATTTTCCTTTCCCCTCTGAGATTCTACAAGGAAGGTTAATTACTAATGTGTTTCATGCATGCCTCATTTGAGTTCTAGTGATTCCCAATTTAATATCAAGATCCTGACTGGGGGCTGACATCCTAGGACTCGTTGTATGGGCACATGCTGTACATTCTTGTGAACACATGTAAAACCATCACATACGTAAGTGTAGGCTTGTATGTCATAAATGCTTCTTTGCGGTAACATGTCATGAAGTGCCTGGCTTTCTTTAATCCAATGGGCTGGTGATTCTGAAAAGTGTTCGTGTGTGTGTGCATGCACTGCCTGTTTGTGCAGCCTACTGCAATTAAACTGCTGAGAAAAACCCAACTGTGGCCACTAATAAGTGAAAAAGTACCACAACTGCTTCTTTTTTTAATGGATGCTTTGAAGTCATTTAAAAATCATTTCCTGTTATTTTGAATGTATTGATTTTATATGTCATGTGCATTTTATATTAAGGGCCAACCGATGCTACATTGGAAGGTTATATTGACTTTAGTAGATTATGATAGTACTGTTATTTCATCAGGTCTCCATTATGCTTAGTTAGAAGCCCATGATAAACAAAACAATTCCTACAGAAAGAATATTTGTAACTCAGGGATCCTGGGTGCTCTTTGAGCTGGTGGTTTTCTTGCAGACATTTCATCAGCAGACAAGGTAACATCATCAGGGCATTGATCACGTAGGCACTGATGGTGTTACCTAGTTTGGTAATAAAACGCCTGCAAGAAAACCACCAAGCTGAGCGAACACCAAGGACCCCACAAAACAATTCCTGCTTATCCATTTGTGGCTTTCTACAAAGACGGGAGTGAGGACCAGAAACCTGCCAGCTCTTTCAGAACAATTTTCGGTGGAGAACCCCAAGGACTTCCTTTTCAAACCGGAGAGATGTCGAGGGCATTAATAATTAAGGGATTCGGACTCCCTTTCCACATTTTTGCAGAGTAACGACAGATGGAAAGGCACAGAAGGAAATACCTGAATTTGACGTAATTGGTACTGTGAGACTCAGGCCGGAATCGCTGTAAATATATAAATAAAAAAAAGGAGCAGGTTAGCCAAATGTAAGATCCACACATTAGAGTTAAGCAGAGCTTTAGGCAAAGAACATTCCCCAAGATGAAATTCCAGCTTCAGCCCTTCAGGGAAGGCAGAAGAAAGGAAGGGAATTTGATATAGTTGCTTCTTCAGCTGTAATACAGATAATCCTTGACTTACGACTGTTTGTTTAGTAACCAAGTTACGACACTGAAAAGGGGGATTTATGACCATGTTTCCACACGTATGATCACTGCAACGACCGCGTGGTCAGCTGATTTACCATCAGGTGCTTGACAAATGGTTCATATTTATGACGGTGGCAGTATCCCGGGATCACGTGATCATATTTCGTGATCTTCTGACAGGCAAAGTCAATGGGGAAGCCCAAATCACTTAACCATCGTGTCAAGGACTATCTGTACTATTGGACACACCGTTGGTCGGGGTGGGGGTTGGGGGGCGAACAAGACCAGGGAAAGGGGAAAAGTACAAGCTTTGCATGGAGGTACTCAGACCTAACTTTATTTTCGCTGTGATTGCTTAACTTTAGTAAAGGAGTCTTTCGGTTCAAAAAAAAAAACCCCTGGGAATCGAGGGTCTTTCTTTCCTAAATGCCTAAGTCGAGACAGGTCTGACACCCAGTTTTGGCTGACTGCACAACCTTTTCCCTTTGCTGGGAAGGTAAATACTTCTCTGACTTATCTCTGAGGAATGAATGAGCTCAGAGAAGACCAGCCACCTCTGAGAACCTGGTTGGAAGTGTCAGGCTGGCCAGTTACGGGAAAAGGAAGTTTCTTAATAGTTGGTCCCAACACTACGATTTAGAAGTTGAAATCATATCAGCCACAAATGTAGGAGAGGGCAAATACTGGGTGGCACAATTTTCAGAAGCCAGAGAGGGTTGGATTCCTGCCTGGCTTGGCACATCAAATGTCCATCTGGCTTCCCAAGAACAATTGCTCATATCTTGGAACAGAGAATAGGAACATATGCTTTGCCTGGAAATGAGCCAGCCTGGCTTAGTGGTTAGCGCACCAGGCTAGAAACTAGGAGACGGTAAGTTCTAGACCTGCCTGAAACATGAAAGTCAATTGGGTCCCTTCAGGTCAATTATTAGGAATTGGTGAGTCCTAGTCCCCAAATAGGCATGAACCGGCAGCTGGTTCACTTTGGACTAATCTACCAGGAGTCAGTGAATTCTAGTTCTGCTTTGGGCATGAAAACCAGCTGGGTGACTTGGGCCGGTCCCTCTGTCTCAGCCCAACCCAATAACAAGATTGTTGTTATGGGGAAAATTGGAGGAGGAAGAAGTTATTAGATATGTTCACAGCCTTGAGTTATGTATAAAATAATAATAAAGATGTGAAATAAATAAATATATGTATAAAAAATAAAAGTATAAAAGAAATCTGGTCCTATTCTGTTTTTTCACCCAAGATTGACAGAGCTCTCAAAACCTGAACATATAGCTAGTGGCTTCCCCTCCATATTACCTGTCCATTCATTCCTTAAGCAAATCTGCCCTTTTAAAAATAATACCGATTTCCTTCTTTTTTTTCTTCTAAGCTCAAAGCAAAATGGGACGTACATGTCAGCTTGCCGGCTGAGCCACTGCTGGCAGGCGTTGCTGTCCTGGATGTACTGCAGGACTTCGGAAAGCATGGTGCGTTTTAGTCGCTCCTCTTCCCGGACCTTCTTGAGATGGTCGTAAGTCCTCGCACCTGCGTCCAAAGAACAGAAAGGAGAATTGTGAGTGTCAGAAGAATGCTGGGGCAGATTTTTCCCCCTCTCCCTTGTCAAATTAAACCAAAACAGTTTTGCCCCTTAAAAAGTATGTCAGGACTGACATCCTGCTACAGCCACGCTTCGCCAGATGCCAGTCTGCCATAGGCGGTGTGGGGGAGGGAGTTGTGAGGAATAGCAATAGCACTTGGACTTATATACCGCTTCCCAGTGCTTTGCAGCCCTCTCTAAGCGGTTTTACAGAGTCAGTATGTTGCCCCCAACAATCTGGCTCCTCATTTTACCCACCTTGGAAGGACGGAAGGCTGAGTCAACCTTGAGCCTGGTGGGATTTGAACTGCCAAATTGCAGGTAGCCAGTAGTCAGCAGAGGTGGCCTGCAATACTG